AACAGTTTGTCACAGCCCCTCGTTTGTTGTCCTCTTCTCCCTCTCTGCCTACGGTTTACCGGGCAGTTCTATTTGACGATATATATATATATATGCCGGCATAGGCGCTAGTGCTCTTACTGGGGGCAAGGTCCCACTTGCACAGATTAAGAGATTCTGGCCGTTGATCTTTGTTATCTACCGTCAACGTCGCTTAATTCGTGTAAGTGGGACCTAGCCCCGGTATAGGCGGTAAGAGCATTTGGCTTCAGGCCTGGGCCAGTACAGAAAGTGGCAGGCCATTTTGAAAAGGCACAGTTTTTGCAGGTTCGCAAGCCTCAGAGGGTAGCTTTGCTGGTGTGAAGTGGTTTAGGGTTTAATGCGGCTAGAATAGGCTCGAAAGCCTTGTAATGATGGAACCAGCAATGAGCTTGGGTTAAATCGACATGATGGGCCTGGCTCCACTGTGCAAGCTTGTAAATGTATCTGCAGCTAATATAATGGGCCTGATTCGGTTCAGGTGTTGGACGAGTCAGAATGCATGTGGTCAACCATCCTGTCCAGAAACGTGTAAAATGTTGTGTAGTGGAGCAAGGCCCGATGTCATGAACATAAATAATCAGACTCGCCATTGGAAACTGTTCACTGAGCCAAAAATAATAATAATAATAATAATAATAATAATAATAATAGTAATAATTTCCTCTGACCTGCGAGGCAAGCTCAGTTGGTACAACTGTGAACTGGGGTGAGGTCCCACTAGCAAAGAGGATTGGATGGAACGCCTGAATCTGGACGTGTTTCACGCACAAATGCAGAAAAGCAGTTCAATCTCCATTTTGTGCACCTTTCCACAAAGTTTAAAGCGTCCAGATTCAGGTGTTCAATCCAATTCTCTTTGCTAGTGGGACCTTGCCCCTGTCGAAATACAGACGTGAGCTCAAATCCAGAGGGAACTTGCTAAATGAACTCGCTAAATAAGTTACTACCTGGGGCCGGTCAGCTCCACGATGATATCTCAAAGAGGGGAAAAAAAAAAAAAAAAAAAAAAAAGGGAAAAAAGGCGGGCCGCAGGGAGAAAGGAGGAGGAGAAGAAGGGGGGGGGGGGGAGAGGGAGAATAAAAGAATAAAAATTCCCTGGCATCTGAGCGATGGTTTCCTTTTTCTTTTTTTCCCTAACTTTCCTTGTGTCTTTATCTTTTGTCTGTGAGCTGTGCTGCAGGGTGTGAGCCCTTGATACAACTTCGGGAAATCCTGCTGAGCACTCCAGGAGTGTTGGGAGCGCGGTTTAGTGGGGCAGGGTTTAGGGGGTGCTGTGTCGCGCTTGTCCAGTCGGAGTTGGCAGAACAGGCTGCAGAGAGAGTGTGTATTGCTTACGCCCAAGCACAGACAAAACTCGTCGCAGATATCAGCGAAGGGGCACCGATAGTTATGCTCTGTGAGTCCGCAGACGGGGCACATATACTTCAATGTCCCAACGATGTTTCCCATTCCTTCAGCTGTTCGACGACAACGATGACAACAACAACAGCAACAACAACAAAGACAACAGCAGCAGCAGCAAGAGAGGAGGACGAAGGAGTTCGGGACCGTCACACGATCATTGTCTGAGTAAGTTTGTCATTATCCTCAGGAGAAAAAATAGATAAAATAGATAAAATGATTTTTTTTTTTTTTAATCAGTTTAATTTTAAAATGATATTAAAATATGAAAAGGGAAAGGCAACAAACTTGAATGACATTCGTCTAGCTTCTAGTAGAAATTTAGAAAACACTAGAACTTTTCTTTTTTACGTTTTTTTCTTCTTCTTTTTTTTTTAACTTGACCGGATGTCAACTTACTACAAGAGACTCGTCTATCTAATCTCACCAACCACTAGAAAGTTAGAAGGACAGAATCTCACCAACCACTAGAAAGTTAGAAGGACAGAATCTCACCAACCACTAGAAAGTTAGAAGGACAGAATCTCACCAACCACTAGAAAGTTAGTAGGACAGAGGGGAAGATTCTAGGAGGTTGCTCACTTCCTCTCTCAGACTGGTCTAACAAAGCAGGTCGGATCGAGTGGGGAACAGCGATTCTCATTCCTAAGGGCGAGATCCCTCTTAGACTAGCAAAGAGATTGGTTTGAAAAGCTGAATCTGGGACATGTTTCTGGAGACGTGCAGATCATTGCGATTGGACTGCTTTTTCTGTACCTCTACATAAAACGCATCCAGATTCGGTCGCTTAGTCCAATCTTATTGGCTATTGGGATCTTGCCCTAAATCCTCCAAGATCCAGACTGAAGGACATGCACTGTTACAGCCTATTGAGTGGTTTCAGGAGTCCAAACGGAGACCGGCCAAGATTTCCTCACTGCAGTGGCAGATTGCCCACCGATGCCTGCCAACCAGTAATTGGCTGATTGATCGTACCAAGTTGGGAAGAGCAAGGGCGGCGGGCGCTGCCCTGGTGCAAGAAATGTCGGCAAAATCACCCTCCCCGGAGAAGAACAGAAACGATCGACCACCTCTTCCTGCAATGCCCTTCGCCGGTGCTATCTTAGCGCTGGTGGGAGAGAATTTGGCGACAGGCAGTCCTTGGCTCCTCTTGGTCGGGGGAAGGGGGGCGGGACACGGGCGCTACTAACAGGCCACTTGCCACGCTGCCTGGACAACCCCTTAATGGGGTACCTGTTCCAACTGGGCAGGCGATCCGTCCTCTGGGTAATATGGTGGCAAAGGTGCATCTTGAAGATGGAAGGGGCACGAGTGGAGAGGGGAGAGGTAACAAATCAAGTTAGACAGCTTGCTCGAGCAGAGATTTCCAGCCAGTGGCAGGCAGCCAGACAAAAAGTGAGTTTCGTCCACACCAGACGCGACACTGACAAGATGATCACAAGGCTGAGCGAGGAATGGTTGGGGGGCAACGAGGGGGTTTCGATGGCGGAAGTGACCTTGTCAGGGGACACCCCCCTGGCAGGGGTATCAGCAGCAGCAGGAGGAGGAGGAGGAGGAGGAGGAGGAGGAGGAGGAGGGGTGCACAGGGGTCGACTCGGTCAGGGGGATTATCAGTTGATCTTCAGTGATTGGACAGCGGTTGACCCCAGTGTCCCCTTGAGACCAGCATCAGACTTCACCGACCCCTTCCCCCCACCAGCCGCTCTCCCTAATGGAAGTGCTGCAAGAGACGACCTAAGCTACCCACCCAAGAAAGACGTGAAGGGATGAGGGAGACCACAGGAATCAAAGCCCTAGCCCCTGGAGCCCCTCCCGAGGCGCAGGCACTGATCCAAGTGGCCACCCCCTTCCAGTACAGGAAAAGGAGCTTGTTTTGCAAGGCATTCCGAAATGCTGGGCCCTGTTTTCCAGACTCTGTGATCTTAGTCGAAGCCGGGTGATGGACCCGGTGTTTTCCTGTTCTCAATTCACATGTGGGCGCTGGACCCGGTTTCCAGCAGGTGATGCTCCCCACCAATAGACAGGAGCCATCTGCCAAACCTGCTACCGGGGGCTGCTCTTACCAGCCCCGGCAGCAGATGAGGCGGATGTTAAACTTAAAACCCAAAACAAAACAAAAACAAAAAGTCATTGACCCCTTCAGAACCCTCTACCCACACAAAAAGGCTTTCTCTTTAGTAAAGAAGAACAGTGCCAATCACTCGTCCATGTCCAGAATCGATTTTTTTGAATTTTTTTCTAATTTCAGAGTACCTACGGGGTACAGTCAAAGGAAGGAACCGGGATCGTGATCGGCAGCCCCATTGAAGGGTTTGGATCCCACGCCAATCTACCTGCTCCTCTTTTTTTTTTTTTTTTTTTTTTTTTGAAACTTCGTATATGGGAAACCTACTGATCGAGGTGATAAGAGCATCCCCGATAAGTAGATCCCGACGTCGAGGGCTCCATCTATTGGTGGGGAGCTACACCTGCTGGAAATCGGGTCCAGCGTCCCTGTACAATGATGAGAGCGTATCTGCTGGGAATCGGGTCCAGCGTCCCTATACAAAGATGTGAAAGTGTCTGCTGGAAATCAGGTCCAGCTACCCTTTGTTCCTATGCATCTGATCCACAGTATCACTGTGTATGGCCTGTTTCCTTTTTTGATGTTTGCACTATGGTCTCATATCGTTTGTTTTAATTTTTTTTGATGAAATTCGCACCGCAATTGCCAACGAAAACGGCGAATATTTGGGCCCCCGTTAACCGTCTCTCACATAAGTGTGCTGTATGTATGATGTGGCGCATATGATGGATGTATTCTATATCAATCAATCATTTAAACACGAAATCCTATGTACAGAGATGTGAGTGTATCTGCTGGAAATCGGGCCCAGCGTCCCTATAACCCTATCTGCTGGAAATCGGGTCCAGCGTCCCTATACAAAGATGTGAAAGTGTCTGCTGGAAATCAGGTCCAGCTACCCTTTGTTCCTATGCATCTGATCCACAGTATC